GTCTGGCTGCCGAGGGGATGGAGGAGCTCAACAGGGTCTACTATATGGACTCTCTGGAGTGGTTTTAGCAAGCCGACCCGAAGCCGGGGCCTCTCAGTGCTTCTACCCGTTTGAGGTGAGAACACAGGAGGATACCGGCTCCACACGAAGGCAATAGAATGTAGCGGACGTGTTAGGGGTCGCCCAGCCCGCAGCTCTACAGATATCTGCCAGCGAGGTACCACGAGCCAGCGCCCAGGAGGATGCAACACTCTAGTTGAAAGAGCTTGCAACCTGAACGGGCAGGGCACACCCTGTGCCTGATACGGCAGACAGGGGAGATGATCACCTGCAACACAAACAGGGGGTAGTGCAGCCTGATGTGTGCAACCCACTCGACACGGGAAACCACCACCGCTGAAGCGCCGTACCGCCAACACGAAGAGCTCTCCAAGAGCGCGCTGAACTCGTTCAGTCTTCTTCTCTCAGTAGAGTAGTCAGGAGCAGAACGATGTGATCGCTCGGCTCCGAAGCGAAAAGCTGAATATGCGCTGCATCTGCTGCCTACTTATACTCACGCTGTGATCAGCGGCAGCTGGATGCAATAATCGCATGCCAATGTGCATTGGCTCGTTTAGTTTACACTCGAAGTAGATTGGTCTCTCTAAGCGAGATCCCAATTCGTCGGTCATCCGACGTGACGTCGAGAGTGACTGACTGAAAGGGAACTAATATAGTTTTGTTTAATGGTGTCTTTAAAAATGTTTTATCCAATATTAAATATGAAGAAAACTTCATATACTGTATACTGCATAATAGGAATGATCCAGCTCTGTCCAGATGGAAAAAAAATAAATCAGGAGCAGATAAACAAAATCACTTCCAACTACCAGTTGCACATTATTTTTCTAGAGTCTCTTCCATGTGTTGTAGCATAGTGTTAGGCTTTACTGACAAACTACACATTCACTTATAATTAGAAGGGCTTAGAAACACGGCTTAGTTCAGGGCAAACCTTAACTAACAACAAAAAATAATAATAATAACAATAATAATGTAACCACTACTCACATATAGTACATATAATACATGAATTCCACCATTGTTGTGCTAGAAGTTACATATGTACTGTAGTGGATTGTAACTTTATTTACACATCAAAGATTGTCATAGTTGTGAAAGCTAAAACGATTTCCTAAGCTGTGTCCTATAATGAATAATTAATATATGTAAATGTTTCATGGTAGGATATTACTGGAAAAGAATGTACTGCGGCTTTATGTGTTGGTATGTACTGCACTCTTAAAAGACAGTGAAGGGTTTTACGTAACAAAACACAGGGTCGGTGCCAATGTATCCTAAACGAAACTGGACGAAAGATGTAACTGCCTATTGATAAAGGAGGAACGTTTATACTTGAAGAAAAATAATAGTGTTTAGTCATTATAGTGTAGATTATCCTTAATTTACCAAAGCAATATATAAATGATCACATGCATAAGATGCCATGATTGTTCTTTTTCGGTGGTATTGGCAAAATTGTTGTTAACTATTGTTAGCTGCTGAAAACCAGATGGCTGGTTCATTTGGTTCTTGCTGTCTAAATGCCTTTGATCTTGCTGGTCATTATCTTTAATGTCAGTTCTTTGTTTATTTATGTATTTCATTAATTTATTTTTAAAAAATTGGAAAATTGTTGAATAAATTATTGATTTTACTTGGTATCGAGTAATTGATTTTTCTAGGACAATTACATTGGTTTAATTCAATGTAATCTTCCAATGCTAACGGGTTGGTAATTGGATAGCTGACATGAAATTTCAAACCGTAGCATAGTCTGCAGTGTGACATACCTATACATAATCAAAAATCTTTTCTAATTATTTAATGTATTAATCAATTAATATGGTCATAAATCCAAAGGTTAAAAGACAAATCCATTGATTCATAGATATTCATGCTCACACTTTATGATTATACACTCTAAAAAATGCTGGGTTAAATACAACCCAGTGCTGGGTACAATAAAGACAAACCCAGCAAATGGGGTGTTTTGAACCAGCGGTTGGGTTACTACCCAGAAGGTTTGTTTAAACATTTAATCAAACCGCTGGGTCAAAACAGCCCAATTGTTGGGTTTGTCCCTATTTTACCCAGCACTGGGTTGTATTTAACCCAGCATTGTTTAGAGTGTATATGCAAGGTTTTAATTTGTCACACTATGGACGCTTTTCACATTTCCGTGGTTTTCAGAAATGTCTGAAACTTGGGTAAAATTCTATAGTAGTGAACGGAAGCTAAAACAAATGTAATTTTTGTTGTTCAAAACAACATGGGTGAATGGGTGCCGTCAGAATGAGAGTCCAAACAGCTGATAAAAACATCACAATAATCCACAAGTAATCCACACAACTCCAGTCCATCAGTTAACGTCTTGTGAAGTGAAAGGTTGCGCGTTTATAATAAACTAATCCATCATTAAATCATTTTTAACTTCAAACTAGGGGTGGAACGGTTCGTGGAAAAAAATCGAACCGTACGGTTCTCCACACACGGTTCGGCACGCGCTAGGACTGCGGTTCAACTTAAATCTGACAACTCATCTGTAATAGGCCTATGGTTTGCTATAAAGAACACTTAAAGCAAACAGGGTTCGGCTGTTTCTGTTGATGGAATCGCATTCTGGCTTCCCAGTACATTACAACAACAGCGATGGAAAAAAAAAACGTGGACAAACCATTCACTCTTGTTCAATGCGAATGGCGTATGCTGGAATATGAGCATTTATTCCGGAGAGAAAAAAACAATATGTGGACAAACCAGTCACTCTTTAATCAATGCGAGTGCTTTATGCTGGAATAACTGTCATTTATGCCCTCATCACGTGTTGATAACGCAGGTGAGACCTGAACAGCACACGTTGATATCTGTGTTTAAGCTAAACTTGTTTCAGCTTTGCCAGTTTAAACATTTAAGAGCCAGAGGACGCGAGCTCGCTCACGCAGTGAGAAGATTTGTGTGTGCGCTCATCTGAAGCGCGTAAACCGCGCCTCAGAACGCCGCAAATATTAAGCTTTCTCTGAAGTGTTGTGTTTAAATGGACAAATTCACACAAAAATTACGTAAAAATGCCCGTCTTGGTAAGTATCCTATAGCAGACATAGCCGGCTGAACGTACTGTATCAGTGCATTCTCTTAAAGTGACAGAGCTTTCTTAATATTAATCAAACAGCAACAACAAAGAAATCACTCACTGCTCTTGATTGAATAGCTTTTGTAACTTTAATAAAGATTAATCTTTAATTTATACAGTCAAATATGCAATGCTCTTTTACATTTCATTATTCAATTTCTGTACTTAAAAACTAATGTTAGACCTACCTAAAAAAAAAACTGAAAATCACTGTTTATTTTATTTGTATCTTTACTCTATTGTATTTATTTGTGCTGTTGCTTGTAGTTAGATTATTCTTATTTTCTTTATTTTTATTTGACAGTATAGTTTTTCCCTAAACATAGCACATACCGAACCGTACCAAAACCGTGACTCGTAAACCGTGATACAAACCGAACCGTGAGTAAGTTGAATTGTTCCACCCCTACTTCAAACGGTTGCTTACAGCTAAAACACGGGTCCTCAATCTAAGTGAAATATTACAGTGAAAAAGTCATCTAGTCTGAATAAGTAGAAAAATATGCACAGATCAAGCAATGTTTACAAAAGAAAACAGTTCAAAGCAGTTGTAAACAAATATGTTGGTGGATTTTGTGAGAGACAACAGGGAATGGACTTTTTCCACTGGAGGAAGCGTTATTATGGATTACGGACTGATATTTTGGCCAGAAGTGATTTTGGCATTAA